AAAGCTTGCCAGTGTCGAAGCAATGATTCTTCAACATCAACTTTGTTGGACTGATCATGTTGTGCAGATGCCTGATTATCATCTTCCAAAGCTCTATTCCAAACTTAAAAATGGAAAGTGTAATGCTGGTGGTCAACAAAAGAGGTTTAGAGACTCTCTCAAGGCAAATCTTTAAAAAATGTAGTATAAACACCGACAACTGGGAAACACTGGCCTACGAGTGCTCCAGTTGGAGAACAGTCATGGACTTTGAGGATGCTCAAACTCAGGACAAAAGGGAGAAACGTGCTAAGAGGAAGGCATGCTTGGCAAACCCTCATCGTGATCAACTCCTGCCCAGAAACCTATGTCCCCACTGTGGAATGACGTGTGGATCCAGAATTGGCCTCCACAGTCATTTACGGACTCACTTTTAAAACCCTGTTTTGGAAGACAATCTTACTCGGCTACGAGTGATTGCCAAAGAAGAAGAAGGGTGTGCTGCTGTTCACCTGACCTCCACTTAGCTGCGTCATTGCTGCTTTGTGAGGGAGGGGCAAGGCAGGAGCATAGTCAGTGCAGTGAAAACACAGCAGTCAAGCCAATATGGTGCATCTGCCTGTGGGTTTGCCCCTTACTGGTTCCTCTCTATGCCATCCTTCCCCATCTCTACACAGCAATGAAGGGACTAGCCAGAAGTCAGCTGACTGGCTCTGTGCCCCCACAGCATCTGCTACTAGTGCCAGATGGAACTTGATCAGTCCCTTGTGTCATGTGACAGATACAGTTCCATTCTGTGGCCCTGCAGGCATGGTGCTGACTAAGCACAGCAGTTCTCTCCCCTGAAAGCTACCATAGCAGTGAAGAGAGAACAAATCACTTTCATCTTAGTGTCATGGGGCTAACAGGAAGGGCAAGTCATTCACAGGTCAGAGAGAGAGACATGAGGCTAACATGCAGTTATTTTCTTTACAGTGGTAACTCGGATTACAAACTTAATTTGTTCGGGAGGTCCATTCTTAACCTGATACCATTCTTAACCTGAGGCGTGCTTTCGCTAATGGGGCCTCCCGCTGCTGCCGCACCGCTGGTGTGTGATTTCCATTCTCATCCTGGGGCAAAGTTCGCAACCCAAGGTACTACTTCTGGGTTAGCGGAGTTTATAACCCAAAGCGTTTGTAACCCGAAGCATTTGTAACTCAAGGTACCACTGTATTAAGGAAAGGGGGGGACTACAAGGAGGCTCATAAAGCCCCCCCCAAACCCTGTATAGTGGTACCTCTGGTTATGTACTTAATTCGTTCCGGAGGTCTGTTCTTAATCTGAAACTGTTCTTAACCTGAAGCACCATTTTAGCTAATGGGGCCTCCTGCTGCTGCTGTGCTACCGCCACGCGATTTCTGTTCTCATCCTGAAGCAAAGTTCTTAACCCGAGGTACTATTTCTGGGTTAGCGGAGTCTGTAACCTGATGCGTATGTAACCTGAAGCGTATGTAACCCGAGGTACCACTGTATAAAGGAGTTGCTTGAACTGGCGTGCAGGTCTCTAGCTCTCTGAGTCAGGGCTCCTCCCCTGTAATCTTCTACTATGGCGAACTCCAGGAGTCTCTCTCTCTCTCTCTCTTTCTCTCTCTGCCTGCCAGGCTCATTGCTCAACAACATGTAACATCCT